CACGGTGTTTTATTACAAAAATAGAATAAAAACTTCAAAAACAAAATGATCCTTTCTAATTTAATGAAAAACTTGTTATTTTTTATTGTTTTCTGTGTGTTAGTTATGTGGAAATGCAGCAAATGTAATGTGTACTTTTGTGTAGAATGCTTTTTCCTGAAACACACATCAATCTTAAATACTTGAAAATTAGTAATGTAAAAAGTAATGTGAAAACTTGAAAAATGTTCATAAGGGTAAAATGTTTTTCTTGACTTGGCAGACTTAAGTATAATTTAAAGGTAAACATAAATAGAAAAACAAAATTTATTGACTTCTATTCATTTAATCCACGTTTTTAGAATTAAATTGTCAATATTAATTGTAACAATAAGAACATCAACAAGTAAGAGTTTCACGAACCAACTGCAGGGGACCACCCATCACATAACATGTATGCGAGGTAAAGAGATATGTGAGTTACATATGCTTCACGAGGCCCCGGGCTCAAAACTAGTGTGAGTTAAATACAGCTCACATGGCAATTAATGTGTTAAAAGATGCTTATCCAAACTGACTTGTTAGGGTGGGGCAAAGAGCAGGAGATGCAACAGGGAAGTGATGAAGAAGAGGGTCAGCGTACTGGTAATATTTTATTTCTTAAGCTGGGTGCTGAGTCCATGGGTGTGTGCTCTCGCCTCCTTTGTGTCAGTGCTGCTCAGTGTAATCAGGACCGACACCAGCTCTTGATGAGGTAAGGGACTGAGTTAGAACGTGAATCAGTGACGTCGCTAAGCACTGCAGTTCAGCAAGGCTTTCTGATGCTGCAGTGGTCCCTTGATGTGCGTACGGGAACAAGCCTGTGATCACATCACAGATCAGCACAGTCATACTACTTATGCCTCTTTATATCCAAAATATTTCATGGGTGTTTTAAATAAGGTTTACAAAGACTCTGATAATGAACATATGTAAATATAATGAATAAGGAGCACAAATAGGACATAACCATGGTGTGTATCATATGAGTACACTAAACCGTACAGACTCTGAGGAAATAGACCAGAATGTCAATAGTGTTTGCCTTTGGAAGTTCCCTCTTTCTCCTTTTTAATATTTTCCATAATGAACACCTGTTACTTTTACACGGACAAAAATCCACTCATTAGTTTTTAACAAAAACACACCTACCATGTGTAGAACATATTTTTCTGCCTCTTGAGGTCCAGATAACTGCACACGACTTGCCATATCTTGTAATGATAGTGTTAAAAAGGTCTGAAAGTGAGAAGTAGAATTAA